AAAGGAGGTCCTGCCTCTGAGTGTCAGAGAGGTGATAGTTGTATAGGAGGTCCTGCCTCTGAGTGTCAGAGAGTTGCTGCCCGTCCAGGGGACACTTCTCTGTCCAGTGTGTATTCCCGTGACTTCTGGAAATATCACCCTCATTGTGCTTTAAGAGAGTCACCCTTCTCTTCTCTGTGTCCACCAAAACTAAGCAAAATGGCATGCTCTGTCCTTTGGACCACAGAAAATGTTTCCCATATGAGGGCATGAGCCAGGCCACTGCCCACCAGGTGACAGTGAATCTAAGGACTTGCTCAGGAGTGAAAGGAAGACACCCTCTCTCTGCTGAATTTGGTGTGAGTGTGGGAGGCAGCCCCCTTGCTGCCACAAGAGACCGAGGTGAGGACAGAGCAAATCCATAGCGGATTTGCTGATCAAATGGCTGATTCACTTGTTATGGCATAAGCCACTTCGCACTGGATTTTTCTGTCATTAATGACTAAACTACACTGGTACAGATTTACAAATATTGAAGAATAAAACTCAGAGTAGGTTACAGAACGTTTTCTTGATGCCGGACATCAGAATTAACATAAAGAGGTGAAAATAGGTTATCCACAGTTTAAGTTCAAAGGCAAACGTGGTGTTGAAGCCAGCTGTATCCCTGCTATACATGCAGAAATTTACACCACACTGAGGTAAGAAGAGGACTGAGGGTAAAGAGGGAGAGTTTGCAAGTAACTGCAAGGCCCAGGTGAGAAGCAGGGCAGGGGCTATGCCCACAGATTCTAAAATAGACTCTTGTAAAGGTTAGGGACAGGGGTCCTCAAACTTTTTAAACAGAGGGCCAGTTCACTGTCCCTCAGATCATCGGAGGGCCGGACTGCAGGCCCCGGTACGAGTCGGCTGCTAAGCAGGACAGGCAGAAACAGCAAAACACCGGTGGGTGGGCCGGATAAATGTCTTAGGTGGGCCACATGTGGCCCGCAGGCCGTAGTTTGAGGATGCCTGGTTAGGCAAACTCTTTTTCTCCATATTGGAGACTGATGCTGGCCTTTGTTCACAGCTGATGCTGCTGGAGTGTAAGCCAGGCCAGGTGGGAGGTGTGGAGCTGAGCAGGGTGCTGTGGACTGGCAGGTGTGGAGAAGGATGCAGGTGTCTGGGGCTGGGCTCAAGTGCTGGTGCAGACACCTGTCCAGCTGAGCGGGACACCCGTGGACACCAGTGAGAAGAAACCAATGTTGTAGAGAAGTTACATGATGATCAGAGGCCTTAACACAGATTGTGCATCAGAGTCCAGGGGAAACAAAGAACAATGCCAAACTGAGGCAAGAGGAGCAAAGGGGAAGAGGCAAGAAACATGTGAGGAGGGAAGGTAAGAAGGGCCTCTATGGAACCAGGAAAGCTGCAGCAGGGAGAGTTTGAAAATACAGGTGAAAAAAATCAATGACCTTAAACTGTACTTGGAGGAGCTTGAGCTTATCTGATAAAATGACAGGGAGCACTGAGACCAGGAAGGACACTGGTGAAAACTGGATTTGCACAAGTTCATTTGGCCCACAAGCTAGAGAGAGTGGGGGACACAGAGAAGAGGGCCAATAAGGGAACTGTGATGGGGACCAGTGAGAAGTGTGACCTGACTTCTGTGGCTCCCTGGAAAACAAGAATGCAGTGCCAGGAGGAGGGTGCAATGGCTGTGCCATTGCATTTCCAGTAACAATCCTGAACACTGTGCTCTCTGAGAGTGAAAAATTTCAGCATCTTTCTACCACACACACATGCATGTAATAGGAGGGACATATTTGTGTGTGTATGTCTGTATATATATGTATGTATATATATATGACAGTAACTATGTGTAAAGAGAGAAATGAAGATATATTCAGGTACACAATGTAAACTATATAGAGACAAGTGCATAAATATGGACACACATATCATCTTCCAACCATATATATATACACATATATATATATCAAAACATACATCTTACTAAAAAATTATAGATAAAAATATCCATCATAAACTTACATAAGTAGCCTTTTAAGATATCTTTCTTCAAATAGGTAGGTGCAGAAAATCACTTTTTAGGTGTTTTGTTAATTAAAAGATACTGATTTATAAGGTCAGATTTTTTTATTTTTTAAAAACGCAATAACTTATCTGTTTGAGAAATCAGCAAATTAAGTAGCAATTTTGTTCACGTAGGCAACTATCTACACATGGGATTGCTAATTATGACTTTTGCACATGGATATTCTATTCTTGAAAATTTATACAAGGGAAAAAGTAGTAGTGTCATTACTTTTGATTGAAGATAAGATCTAAATTACAATTTTCTGACATTAAATCATTGTACCTCCTTCTTCACTTAAGGTCTAGAGAAAAACTATTTTTAAGAGATTTTTGTAGAAATGTTTTTAAAGTATTTGAAATTTCTACCTTGAAAGATTATCAATTCGGAGTCCATATTTCGTTTCTGTCTCCTTCTTCCCCACCTTAATTCTGAATTCTTTGTCTACAAGTAGGACGAAAGCAATGGCACCGCTGTCTGGTTTCATATACAATAAAAAGGAATCTTTCACTATTAACCATCTGTAAGAAATCAGTGAGTGCCTTTAAGGATGTATTGAATAAAACAAAAAGACCGAATTATATAATGACAAGTCTTAAGTAATCCCTCTAGCAGACCATAGACATAATTGCACTTTTTACATGGGGGATTTATTTTTTAAAAATCAGTATGAAACAAATAACTTTTTCTAAGAAGTATGGCACCCAACAATTCAAAATAATTCATTAGCTCTTTAAACACATATGGTAAAGCTTGGAAGAATGTTCTGATACTGGCAGATGGGGCTTGAAGAAAGGTGTAGAAGGAGTCCCAGCTGCCTGAAGAGTGGCTAGGTTTGCTAACATAAACTATGATGAAAGAGGTAAATAAGTCTACTAGTAAGTAAAATTCCTTTTAAAAACCCAGTAAGCATCCAATATTCCACATGTCCTGTTTTATCATTTCAAATTTTTTGTGGTCTTATTTAATTGGACATGAACATCTCTCAAAAGTATTCTCCCTCACACCTGTAATGCCAGCACTCTGGGAGGTTGAGATGGCCTGAGCAAAAGCAAGATCCCCATCTCTACTAAAAATAGAAAAAAAATAGCCAGGTGTTGTGGTGGGCACCTGTAGTCCCAGCTATTCAGGAAGCTGAGGCAGGAGGATCACTTGAGCCCAGGAGTTTGAGGTTGCCATGGCACTCTAGCCAGGGTGACAGACTGAGTCTCTGACTTGATAAAAATATGTATTTTCCATTCATTTTAATACATACTCAAGAACTTCATAATGGAAACATACAGTGATAAGCTCACAGGGAACAGCACAAAGAGAATGGCACATAATTTCATCAGACATGGAATTATGTATTTAAAGGAGGTTATAAGGGTAGTGAGGGCATGAAAAATAATTCTACGCTGAAGGGGACAGACACTGAAAGAGAAAGCAAAAAGGGCTAGATGCAGGGAGAGGGGATCTTTAGTTCTGAGGGGACAAACTGGCAGTGCTCTCTGGTAGAGGCGGTGTTTAAATGAGGCCAGGAAGGAGCCCAGCACTTGGAGCTCCAAGTGGGGAGGGCTAAGGTGTTGTCCCACTCAGTAGGGAGCATTAGCACAGGGGCTCAGATGGGGCAACACTACATGTGTCCAGAGAGCAGGTGGACACATCCAGGGTCTCAGGGAGTACAGAAAAGAGGAGAGGGAAAATGAGCAAAGGCCACACCCAGGGGTCTGGAAGCCATACAAAGGAGGCTGATTTTATATCGTACAACCAGTGTCTCCTAAGCTTGTCTAAAAACCAGAATCTCTTGAGATATTTCTAAGAAAAAAAAAAAAAAAGAGAAAAGAAAAGAAACAGATTCCCAAGCCCCACCCTAGATCCTTTGAAGAGGCCTTTAACACAAACACCACAGAGTTGCTCATTAAATAAGGAACTCCTTATGCCCCTGGCTAGGCAATAGGACAGTAATGGTAACTTGAACTGTTTCAGAAAAAAAAGTAGACAAGAAAGCGGGGACAGAGTGTGGCAGGTCTGCCCTTTGCTGCAGTCACATGCATCCTACTAACTGGGGTCCTACTAAAATGCAAATTCTGATCCAGTAGGGGTGGGCTTGAGTCTGCATTTCTAACAAGCTAATAGGTAATAGCTGTGTGAGGACCACATTTTGATAAGTCAGGACACAGGTGACAGGAAGGCACTGACAATGAGAAGAGTGACAGCAGAGACAGGACCCACTTAAGGTGTCTTTTAGAAGACAGATGTTGACTCTATCATGTTGCACACAACACTATGTATTTACATTTACCTGCAATTGTATAGAGGTCAAGTGAATCAATCAATATCGAAATAGAGTAACAATGGGGACAATACCACATATCAGACAAAGTAGAGCATTCTAGGTACTTCCACATCATGGAATAGTAAGGTTGGAATGCCTGAATGTAAATTAAGTAAAACAGAAATACTGCATTGGAATTCAGCATGTAAAATAAACCTGTGATAACCCTAAAAATGACAGTGAGGCCACGTGGCATTTGTCCTTCTGTGCTTGGCTTATTTCACTTAACACAATAACCTCCAATTCTACCTACGTGGCTGCAAAGGTCAGAATTTCCTCCTTTGTATGGCTGAATAATATTCCATTCTAGATACACCACATTTTCTTCATCTATTCTTCTGTCAATGGACGCTTAGGATGATTCCACATCTTGGCTGTTGTGAATAGTGGTGCAGATAACATAGGGAGTAGGGTCCCTTTGATATACCAACTTCCTTTCTTTTTAATAAATATCCAGCAGTGAGATTGCTGGATAATGTGGTAGTTCTATTTTTCTTTTTTGATAAATTTCCATACTGTTTCCTGTAATGGAGACACAGGTTTACTCTCTCACTGGCAGTGGGTAAGATTTCCCTTTTTCTCCAGAATGTGTTATTTTTTGTCTTTTGATCATGCCTATTCCACCTGGGGTGAGATGGTATCTCACTGTGGTTTTGATGCACATTTCCCTGATGATTATAGTGCTGTTGAACATTTTTTAATACATCTGTTGACCATTTGTATGTCTACTTTTCAGAAATTTCTATTCAGATACTTTGCCCACTTTTTAAAGAGATTTGTTTTTGCTGTTAAGTTGTTTGAGTCCCTTGTTAGGTGAATAATTTGCAAATATTTTCCCCCATTCTACAGGTTGTCTCCTTTATTATTTTCTTTGCTTTTCAGACTATTTAGTTTAGGATAGTCCCATTTTTCTATTTTTGTTTTTGTTGCTTATGCTTTTGCAGTCTTAGGCATAAAATCCTTGCCTAGACCAATGTCCTGAAGCATTTCCCGTTTCTTCTAGCAGTTTCATAGTTTGGGGCCTTATTATTAAGTCTTTAATCCATTTAAGTTGAATTAGGTATATGGTGAGAGACAGGGGTTTAGTTTCATTCTTCTGCAGATGGAGATCTAGTTTTCCCAGCTAGATATTGAAGAGAATGTCTTTTCCACAATGTATGTTCTTGAATCCTTTGTTGAAAGTGAGTTGGCTGTAAATATGTGGATTTACTTCTGGGTTCCCTGTTCTTTTACATTAGTTGATGTCAGTAATTTTCTACTGGTGTGCCATAATAGGATTTCAGGTGTGCTGTGAAAAAAAAAAATTTTTTTTTGATGGAGCCTCAAGCTATCCCCCTGGGTAGAGTGCCATGGCATCACAGCTCACAGCAACCTCCAACTCCTGGGCTCAAGCGAGTCTCCTGC